TGGATAAACCACATCCTCCGAAGAGAAAAGAATTCACATGTTATAACAACTCTCACATTGGCCCCTGATGGAAAAGGACGAAGAGGAACACATGGCGATACTCTATTAAGAGAGAGAAAGAGAAGAGCAGTTGGAAGGAGGGGCAGATTGTTACCAGTGAACCCCATCGTAAGCAGGGTAAGTAAGTTTTACTTTAATACTTTAAGTCATGTCCCCGCCGGAAGACTACATTTGGGAGGACAATACCCTCAGATACACTTACATTTACTTGCCGTCGTACAACGCAGAAAAAGTAAACATGTATTTAGTATATAAAAAATAATTGTAAATGAAATGGTATATCTGCCATATATGTTCAGTTGTCCTTCCTTATTTAACACTACCAATATCAACTGCATGTGGGTTTATGTTCATCAGGTGATTCGATACGCAAATGCATGTTATTCTTCTTACAAATATTTTTTAATCGAGACTGGCTTCTAAAACAGGTTAATGATTCAAGAGCATATGCAATCTTGTTTGAAATCAACATTATACATATCATAAAGGCGATGCAGTAACACTGTTTGCAAGTACAAGCGCTCATTGGGTCAAATGTTGACTGACTCTTACTAAAATTGTAAGGTCATTCTTCGTTTACCAAATCGTGACCATAGAGCACACAGCGGATGTGACACAGAAGAGAGATTAAATTTTTTTCAATGTACAAAAAGGAAGATCTTTTTTGGCCAAACCAACCGTCTGTTGCATTTGGAGAAGCCAGAAGCTTGTTACGATCGTAACATTGTTATTTTCTTTTGAATGAGAGAATCAATTTTTATACCCAATTAAATAACGGAGCAGAAGAACATTAAAATTTATTCAGTCTGATTACATTAATGGAAATTCAATTTAATATTCTGTGTCTGTAAATGAATAAAAACATGCAGCAATGATTTTTCCCACAAAGAATATTTCACGTAAGATGTCTTTGTATGCTGTAAATTTTAGGCTTAGGAATTCAATTCTTAGCCCTTTTCCTGGAAAGTTGATTTTGAACATATCCCATTCTAATTTCCGTAGCAAACTGTATTTGGTGGAATGGTTCCTGTCTAAGAGACTCTTGATAAGACTGTAATGCACCCTGTAAGTCTCCTATCAATTGCTGACAGATCCCTAGTATCTGCCAGGATATGTCTCTAGTATATGGTGGTAAATATTTCCCATTATCTTACAGCAGCAGCGTCTTTAAGGTTTTCACTGACCGAAGATACTTAGATTTGTTTCCTATTCTGTAATTATTAAACACAGACAGCATTTCTACTGTTAGAAATGGAGATATATTTAAATGTAACGATCCATTTTGTAACCATTTGTTGTTCTAAGATTAATTCTTGAATAAAAGTTGAATGTAAATCAAGTTTCAAACTTTTTGTCCATGCTTTTGCCATCCGCCTAGATGGAGAAAGACTGCAAAAAGCTTCGTAACTTTGTCGGTTTATATGGTTTTCATACATGACAAAGGGTTTGGATAGCCTTTCTTTGATGATGTTGGTTAAATGTACCGTTTTTTCATACCAGCCCTTTCTATAGTAAAACAAAGCTAAATACAGTGAATTAGACACTTCATCTATCCTTCCTGCTAGCTTTAGCATGTTACAAACAGTTCTGTCAACAGTATACACATCTTTATTTGTGCAAAAGGACGAAACATTTGCCATATGGAACGCCATGTTAATGAGAGTAAGAGATGTGTAGTGTTGCAATATTAGTGTTCGACATGGTGAAAACGAAAATTGTAAAAGATTTTCTATCGATTTCAAAAGTAAATAATACTGTTGTAGAAAAACACAGTGGCACATTAGATCAAATATTTCACTCCTCATAGATATATCCTTTTCGACAACAGATATGTTGTGTCCCATATCAAAAGCTATCTCAAATGACGGATTCGTTAGAACTGGTTCAAGAAAGTATCTGAGAGTGGGACTTAATAGAAGACAACATAAACCAGTTTCGTAGTATTGGTCTAGTTGCTCATATAAGTAGATGCGTCCTTTTCCGCATACTTTGTTTGCAAACGTTATTTTCAGGAATAAAAAAAATGGGAACACGCTGCGATAAACACAAAAAATGAGGTATTTAAAACATTTCCAGAAACAATTTAGCAAATTATTTGGGTGCCATTGAGTAGTTTCCCATTGTATCATCCAGAACATTGTAGTTTTTATGTAATATGAACAGAGCAATGGTTCGTCTACCCCTTGGTTTAAAACTTCCTTCATAAATATTTTCAAAAGTCCGTAGCATAGAAATTGTGTATGGTTCATGATGTACACAAGTTTTTTCTCGGCTCGAGAAAATGATATTCTCCACTCTAAATAGTAATCTGGAGATAAATTATTACTTCCGATAGGAACACAGTGATATCCATTCTTCAGAATTTTCTCAAACACATGTGCTGGAGGCCAATTGTATTTCTTGCGAAAAGATCGTTTCATCCAATTCAGAGTTGTTTTGGGCCAATGTTTACTTTCCATACAAAAGGTATGATCAAACTCTATGTGTCCACAGTAACCAGTTATACAAGGACCATGACGCTGAACACCTTGCATCCCCAAGATATATTTATTCCAAAAAAAACATCATCTCTCTCCATATCAAGCTTTGAAGAAAAGACTTGTCGCTCAATGGGAGAAAATCGTTTCTTGGCTTTGATAGAAGTTGTAATCTGACAAATCCAGGCGGGGTATCTTCGTTCTTCATAAGAAAAATGGCGTGTCTAGCTGCATTGTAAATACTAGCTTGAGAAAGTTTGCTTATCAATTTATGATTAATATCCCAAAACATTACGTCCTGATCAGAAGCGATAAACCTAAACCCTTTGCTATAACTCCCACTGCACATATAAGACGACCCAACATATATAATAGCAGGTTTTTGTATCATTTCATCCATATCATTAACGTCCCTTCTGATGGCCACTTCTGTTGGTGATCCTATCTTTTGACACAGGCCGGTATACAGGACCCCAGAAAGATGGTGAATGTTGTTATTAAACATCGGGAATATTAAGAACATCAAAATCTGCATGAAAAACAAACTATTCATTACATTTATTTCCCAGACGGCTTCCTGTTGATATTCTTAAATATGGAAAATGATTAAACGTTTTCTTTGAAAAGTTTTTGAAGTCATATCACATTATCAAAAAAAATTAAAATTTCTAAAAGACAGTATATTAATAGGTTTAGTCATCCAATAATTCATGAAAACCAATTGCTGAAACTTACCTTAAAGATTCCTACAGCGCAGGTGAGTCAGCAATTAAAAATCTTCAGAGGTATAAATGGATTTAAAGAAAAAACTTGCCAGTTTTCATTTCTCTTTAAATTGCCTTCTCAAACCCTTTAGCAAACAAACCGGGTCGTGATAAAAAGGAACAAAAAGAAGAACCAAACCAGAGCAAAGATATACGTACTTCTTTCTGTAATAATCGATACGAGTTTAGGAAACAGAACATCTGTATTGTACATGTATACACCTAAAAAAGTATAGGTTTATCATTCGGATCTGATTCTCAATGTTTGTCTGACCAAGGCATGCGATAGTATACACAAAGAAAAGTATAGATGTATCACTCTGATCTGATTTTATAACTGGTAAATCCTTGAGCAATCATAGTAGAAGATGCTAGAGAAACTTTTGCTTCACAAAGAGTCTTTTTTTATGAATACAAAATTTTTCAATATGAAGAACAAGATGTTGAAATGTTAGAAAGTGTAACAGTGAAGGAAGGTTTATTTTCTAAATAAAAAAATTCCGTATATTGCTAAAAAACTATGTATTGATCAAGTAGATGGAACATTCCGTTGTAAAAATTTAGTCGTGTATTTTAGTTCTCATGCAGTTTAGCCCTTTTCGTCGTCAGTAAAACATCCAGGTACGAAGGAGATGTTGCAGATTCTGCATTATCTATTATTTTAAGTTAAGCGGGATCGACATACGAAAAGAAAGAACCATAAAATGTCGTCAATATATCTAAAGGCTACGGCAAGTGTTTTTCCTCCTCATTTAGATGTTTTTGAAAAAAATTGTCGTAGGAACACAAAAATAGTTCGGCTTATGAAGTACCACAGCTCGTGCCCATGAAATTCCAACAGTCTGTTAGAAGACTTTGGTCTCCGAAGACTACACAAATCAAATGTTGTCAATGACGCGTTCAAGCATCCTTTAAATACCAACTTCAGAGTATGTGTGTGTGTAGAACCAGAGTGATCTTTAATGAAGTTATTTTGTTGTTGAACAAACACAAGATATGATATTTCCGAGTTATATTTTTATTGAAAATGTAGTTCTTAACGATATCAAAAAGTCCTGTTTTACATGTAATTTATCGCAAGGAAAGATTAAATAAAAAGTGAAGAAAAGTGGTAAGATTTGATGCTACTGACTTTTGAAAAATTGACATTTTTATAATTTGTAAAAGTTATTTGAGGTTTTTGAGAATCATCTAGAAGATGTTGCACCACAGTCAGGAAATGTGAAGTTTCTCCTTTACAAAAACTATTTTTGTAAGGAGTAAAGATAGGAAAGTGGTAAAACATTTGCTGGACATGGCAACGTTTATTAGCTTGTAGAGATTTTTATAAAATTTAGATATCCATCAAAGGTAATTTAGATCGAATTCATCTTTGTTGACTGGCATGTTGAAGAATCAAACAGTAAAATGTGATTTGAAAAATTTTTATCATTAAAAAGTGAACTACGGGTATTTTTTGAATCCATTTATTTACTTTTGACGCTAACATAGGGAATTAGCTAGGAGTAATATATTATCAGTAAGAAAAAAGGATGCAAATTATTGCTGATGGATAAGAAAAAAAGAAGCAATTGAATTTATATATTTACAAATTCTGTTTCATTTTGCTTTTGGTTTGGGAGATGTAGGAATTGCAACCAATAGAAACATTTCTTGTTTTTAACTCCTCTAAATAAAAAAAGACACATTTTTTGATTCATTGATTTATTCGTAAAATATAGAAAGTCTCATAGTTTACAAAATAAACATGGTCAAATCTGTATTTACGATGCCACTATTACTAGAAATCAAATGTATGATTTTGATGAGAAAATGTTTTATGGCAAACAGAAAGCACCCAGTTGTAATAAATATATAATTTAATTACAACATATTTTAACCCTCTTTAAACATAATTAAAACTGTATTTGGGGATTAACTTTTTAAAAATGTGCAAATAAACGATTGATCTAAAGAATAAGCAAAGATGAAGATGGTTACAAGTCAATATTTTTACTGCTTTAAAGTGTCAACATTTACTCTCTTATCATATTTGATTTCAATAGTTCTTATGGATAAAATCGTCTTTAAGACACAAAATTGTACAAATTACTCGTTAAGTCCTGTGTTTTGTACAAGTTGGCTTTCAATATGTCTTATTCTGGCTTCTGAAGCTTTCTGAATTTTGTGCATAGGCTTCTGTTTAAGTGACTCTTGATAAGACTGCAACGCTCCATATAAGTCCCCAACAACGTGTTGACAGATCCCCAGTATTTCCCAGGATATGTCTCTTTGACTGAGAGGCACATATCTCCCATCATCATACAAAAGCAGTGTCTTTAAGTCTATTAGTGACTGTAGACACTGAGATTTGTTCCCAAGTCTGTAATTAGTCAATATGGACAGCATTTCTATCAGGAGGAATGGTGATAAAGTTAAAATAACCCCTCCATTCTGCTCGGATACTTGTTGTTCTAACATTAATTCCTGGATAACTGGGACACGTAACCCAAATTGCAGATTCCCCGCCCATGCTATTTTCATCCGACTAGAGAGAGACATGTTACACACAATTTCATATATGCGTCGGTCAATAAGCCAAAAATAAATGATAAAGGGTTGTGAAATCCTTTTTCTAATGATGTTATTAAGGTGTCTTGCTTTATTATACCTACCCATTCTATAGTAATACAAAGCTAGAAACAATGAATCAGACACTGTACCTATTTTTCCTGCCAGTTTCAGCATGTTACAAAGACTTCTATCTAAAGCATACAAGTCCCTATGAGTGCAACAGGAAGAATTATTTGCCATATGGAACGCCATATAAACCAGAGTCTGAGCTATACAAATCTGTTGGGTAAGTGTTTGATAGGGTGAAAATGAAAATTGTAAAAAGGATTCTATTGATTTCAAGTACAGATAATATGTATTAAATTCGTTAGCTTCAAATGAATTAGGCAAAACCTCACATGCAACACGCATGTCTATCTCCTCAGCAGACTGCAAATGTCCATTGACAAAAGGTATTACATATGACGGGATTCTAAGAGCCTTTTCTAAGATTGAACTGAGAGATGGGCTAAGTAGAAGACAAGAAACGCCCAGTTGGTAATACTTATTTAGTTGTTCGAATAGACAGTTACGCGCGTCTCCAACTACTTTATTGGTAAACATGTTATTTTCAGGAATAAAAAAATTGGAAAACGTACCATGATATACACAGTGAATAAGATATTTCAAACATTTCCATACACAATGCAGTAAATTGTTTGGGTGCCATTGAATAGATCCTAACTGTATAACCCAGAACAGCGTAGTTTTGATGTGATATGAACACAGTAATGGTTCTTCGGTTCTGTAATTGATGACTTCTTTCAGGAATAATTTCAGAAGTCCATAACATAAAAATTGGGTATGATTCATGGTATAAACTAATTTCTGCTCTGCTCGAGAAAACGACAATCTCCACTCTATTTCATTGTAGGAAGATGGAATATTACTCCCGATAGGAACACAGTGGAAGCGATTCCTCTGAATTTCTTCAAGCACGTATGCTGGAGGCCAGATGTATTTAAGTGAACGCTCTATCCAGAAAAGTGCTGTTTTTGGCCAGTGTGTGCTAGTTAAACAAAGAGCATAATCAAATTCAATTTCTGCAAAAAAGCCAGTGGTACATGGGCCATGTCCGTCGACATTTTGAAAAGCCTTGATGTTTTTATATACCTGCAACCACTTTTCTCTCCATAGCAAATTTGAAAGATAATATTTGTCACTGAAGGAGACGCATGCTAATGTGCTTAAATTGTCTCTTGGCGGTGTTAGAATTTGCAATCTGACAAATCCAGGTGGAACACCCGTATCCTCCATTAAAATAATAGTATGTTTTGATGCGTCGTAAATGTTTGTCTGAGAAATTTCGCTTATCATTTTATGATATTGACTCCAGTACATGATATCTCGATCGGAAGACTCCAATCGGAACCCCTCCCTATAACTACCGCTCCACATTCGACGCAATTCAGTGTCCAAGGGTTTCTGTATCAACTCTACCATATCCCTCACGTCCCTTCTGATGGCTACTTCCGTTGGTGTCCCTAACGTACGACAGAGACCCACGTACAGGACTTCTGATAGACGAGGAATATGATCCATGCTGCTGGAAAAAAGGATTGGTAATTTGTACTTGATGAAAAAAACGAAGCAGTGAATTTATCCTTCGACATGTACATGATCATTTAACATGATTAAAATGGTTTTATAACGTTCATAGAGTGAATTTAGAGCTTATGTCTTATAAATAATTTGTATGAACAAAAATTTTTCACAATTAAAAAAGGGTAATACATGGATGATGAGAAAATTAACTTTAATCACATTTCTTCTATTTACAGAAACATCTTAATTGAATTATATCAACCTCACCTGAGAAATGTTTGTTAGAAGGTAATATATATCCGCGATGACGATTGAAAATTCCTAAATTGTTTTTAATTAGAAAACCAGTCATATCTACTTTCGTTTCAATTTTTAAAATAAGAAACCAAGGCATACAAACCAATCATTGTAAATATTCATGATCATTAATGGGAGAGGTATTTAAACTTTCAATCGGTAGGCACGGATCCAGGAAGTTTTGTTCAGGAGAAGAGTCCACACCAAAACATACAGAAGTCAGACTCAGGAATTGTTTGACAATCAAAGATATAAAAGTAAAACAAAAAAAAGGTTTTTAAAAGAGGATTTATCTATTTTCTGATAACCTGTATTATGAGAGTGGGGGTGGGGTGGAAGTTAGGTCAACACACTTCCTTTTCTTTTTGATCTTGAATACTGTTCGTTATCTCCCTATGTTTCAAACAGTTGTTGGATAGTTATCTTTTCAGGCCAGTGTATTTTTAGGATCCTCCCAAGGTATCTTCGATGGAACGTATAAAGCTTTCCGTCGTCTTTTTCTGTTGTTCTCCATAGTTCATCACAATAGAACAATACAGATAGAACATTTGTGTTGAGGAACTTAAGTTTGGTCTTTGTGTTGTATTGTACTTCCATACTTTGGCAAGTGATGCAAAGGCGGTCATGGCTTGCCTTAGTCCAATGTCACGAAAAAACTTCAAGCTCACCAGGATATATCGTATCGACATAAGAATGGAAATTATCATTGTTAATTGACAATAAGTCGTCGATATATCTAAATGTCGAATTGAAGGCCACAGCAAGTGTTTTTTTTCACACATAAGACTGGGATTCCAATAGATCGTTGGAAGACCTGGTCATCAAAAACAACATAGATATTGTCAATCAGAAACTCCAGCATCTTTTTGATGTCAGCTTCGGAGTACTTGAATGAAGAATGCTGGATTTGTTTTTTAATGGGGCTGGCATTTTTTGTTCAGATTAGTTTATAATTATTAGTTTTATTAGGATTATTTACCATAAAATAAAGTATATTTTTGCATTTTTTGACCGTAGTCGCCGACTTAATTAAAAATTACTTAACTACTAATTTACTAGCATTATAAATGTACATTTCATTCCAAAACCCTTGCAAATATGACGTTTAAATAGTTAACAATGGGATAAAAAAACATAAATATGAATTTTAAAACGTTAGTCGGTCCTAGCAGTTGGTAGAATATATGACCAAAAATTAGATTATGTTTGCTTACAAGGTTACTAGTAATAAAACGATAATAGAATTTACGAAATGCTGACTTTAAATGAGGTTGCTGATATTTCTGTAACATCAACTTAAAAAAACCAAACTCTTCGTTAAAAAAAAAAGATCATACCTAGAGCATCCAATTAAATTCTCCTTCATGTAAATAAGAACTAGCACCAGCTGAAACATAAGATATAAAAACATGTAAGACAGGCTTGGGTGAAATGAATCTATGGTTTTATTTAGTTGAACACATATGTAGATTATGAAACATTACATAATGTGTGTAGGCAAATTGAAACTTGAGGAATAAATCCATGCTCCAAACACCCATCCAAATATGCACCATATGAGGCAGACTTTTGTTTCAAGTTCACAGGGATATTTCGAGTCAACACAATTGTAGTCAAGCCTCCGAATCTGGATTTATGGTTATTCACTAATCTTTGATTTATTAGAAATTCAAATAATTAGTACACAGCAATTATAATTGTCGTGTACACATAATTTGAATTTCTAACAATGCAATAATTGGTAAACAGCACTATTGAAATTTGAATAACCCAAAAAAGTACTTTTACAAAAAGATACAATGAAATTTACGGGCAAAGAAAAAAAATCTTGGACCAAAAGTTTTAAACTTGTCTATTTTTAATGCATGGTAACACAGGGGTAGGCACTTTTTTAATCTAATAAAAAGACTTATGTACCATAAAAATATGTTCCAGTATTTAAACTGCAGCATATAAAGCACACTTCCTATAAAATTTTTGTTAAACACTTCAGTTATGCAAACTTATTAAAATTCTGGGTAGAAGTTTGCATGTAGACTTCAACTTCTTTATCTCAAACAATCTTATTTTCATTAGAATTGTGATAAGCATGCTAAATAGATAACCAACTTCATATCAGGACAGTTATGATACAAGTAAGTATAATTAAAAGCTTTATTTAACGCTAATAAATAGTTTATTGATAACATAAATTTTAAAAAAATATATGAGCTTTTAATAATTTTTTTTGGCATTTCAAATAAAGAGCACGAATTTTTCAATCATCAGTTCATTATTGTACATCTCTTACTGTTTAATAGTTAAGATTTTTCTTTTCAGTGGCTAAGATTAATAAGGAGACATTAATGTTCAGGAAATGGAAAAGGGTGGATCTAATGGAGTGGAGAATCCAGGGTATATTAGGGACAAAACGGCAAAACCTTTCATCAAAATCAAAAAACGATGCACAGAAGTATGTATCTTAGTATAGTCTACTTGTGTGCTAAGTTATATTGGAATCCGACCAAAACTGTAGGAGGAGTAGCATTTTAAAAGCCTTTCACAAAAATTTCTATTTTTAGTAACACCGTTCATCGAAATGGAAAACAATAAAAAGAATTATGTATATTAGTGTAGTCTACTTGTGTGCCAAGTTATATTGAAATCTGACCAAGTCTGTAGGAAGAGTAGCATTTTGAAAAATTGTTTACAGACAGACAGTCAGACGGACGCATTACTATCGAATAAGCCCTTCTGGTCTCTGACCAGTAGAGCTAAAAATGGAATTTGGAATATGTGACCAAATCAACTTAGTATGTTTAATTTCATCACTTTTTATATTTTTCAGTCTATCTAACACTGCTATTCAAAGACCATTATAATCAACAAAATTGGTTTTCAAGTTTATTAATGAGTTGAGACTTACGAAACTACTCTCGTTGTTAAACAGGTCGGTTAGAAACACAATGCCTTCGTTAGAATAGTTTTTCCAAAAGAAAGATTTATTATTAATTTTAATCTTTGGATTATTCCATATATGATCATAGAGCACCTGCCTGTAATTCTCTTGATTTATCTTGCCAACTTGACAGAACTTCTTTCCTAAACATTATTAAATCTTGTTGAGAGATTCCGAATGTAATCAGAACCCCTTATCCAAAGTTTGTTTATATCTACTTTTAGTTCAGCTTCAAATAGTTTTGCCCAGTTTGCATTTGAGTGAATAAGTATTCTGATCCAACATGATTTTAGGGCAGAAATGAATTCTGTATAATCAATCATTTTTAGACCTCCATATTTATAGTCCTGAATTATAACATTTTTCTTTACCTTATGAATTTTGTTACCCCATAGAAATAATACTTTTTCAGTCTCAAACGTCTTCAAAAAATCTGACTTAGGGTTTGGTAAGTAAGAATTAAATGGTTTAGTTTGGGTAATATTAAAGTTTTAATTACTATTTTTACCTTCTGATTGAGGTAAGTTTCCTCAAACTCCACTTACCTACTAAAGTTTTGATTTCATTTAGCTTTATGGAATAATTAAGATGGGGCATTTCATACAAGTTTACTGAAAATTTTATTCTTAGAGCTTCCACCTTGACTGATGAAATACTTAGTACTTCCCTTGAAAATTTGTTACTTCCAATCCATATCATTTTAGTTTTTAAGAAATTTATCTTTAAGCCTGATATATTACCAAAATAATCTAATTCTCGGAGAACACCATCCATGGATCTTGTTGAACCATTTGAGATGAGAGACGTATCATCAGCATATTGGGAGAGTTTGTACTCTTCACCCTCAATTGTTATAATTTTTATATCTTGATTATTTCGAATTAAGACTCCAAGAATTTCAGCACATAACAAGCTTTAGTACATTCTAATAGATATTGTTTTCCATTAATGGGGATAAGACGGTTTGTATTATAAATGTTAGGTATTGCATAGCTTTGATTTCGTTATTTTAGCTTAAAAGCTTTCAGAAATTAACACTTCAAAGCATAAGGCTGCTTGATATTACCCGTATACATTCGCCTAACAAGAATATCCCTACCAAAACGAATGTTTTTGCATCAAAAAATGACAAGGGGTCACTATTCTACGGGGTCGTTTTTCTACAATGCACACGGAGAAAAATGACCCCAAGACCATGATTTCTACAGAAAAGTGGGTCATTTTTCTACGTAGAATATTGACCAGGGGGTCAAATTTATACGTCAATATTCTTCGGGGGTCACTTTTCGTCGTTACACTGGCGTGTGACATAACTGTTTCCGGTGTGACTCAGCGTTTTTCATGGTTTATAGCGATTCTTATTACATTTGTGACATAATAGGAAAACTTACCTAAAAATGTTATATAACTATTTATTATAAAGCTGATAAAATAATCTATAATAAAAAAACTATAAAAGTCTAGCGAATTTTAGCGTTCAATATCTTGGCGTTTTATTCAACGCTAAGTTTGCTTTAGGTAAATGAGTATGCCCGAAACATTCCGAATACGAGCATTCAATATCGAACGCCCCATTTAAAACAAAAAATGTCGTCTGGTTAACTCTCAAAGGCAAATTTATGAAAAATAGCGGCAGGGGCATGTCTAAATGTTTGGTAGCATAAAGAGGAAAAATGTCGTTTCTTTCCCCATTGACCTTTTGGTTGACCCCGCAAAGGAACACAACTTTTGCAAAGTGTGGATTGGACTATTACCACAGCATGATATAATAAAGCACCACCTTCATATAAAATACCGGTTACCACAGCATAATATAATAAAGCACCACCTTCATATAAAATAACCACAACATAATATAATAAAGCACCACCTGAAATAACCACAGCATAATATAACAAAAGCACAATTTTCATATAAAATAACCACAGCATAATATAAAAAAAGCACCACCTTCATATAGAATAACCACAGCATAATATACTAAAGCACCATCTTCTCATGAAATAGCCACATAAGGCAGCTATGGCGTTCCATACATGTCCCTGCCGTAAGACTTTATATGAACAAGATCAAAATTTTTGTGTTTTGGAATATCTATTATAATTCTTTGTTCTTGGGAAGG